CACATTAACGTGTCGGCCTCCTTTACCCCAAGAAAAGCAGAACGACTCCCAAACGCCACGTCCTTCCTCAATACCGAGAGATAATATTCCTTGTGACAGGAAGTACAAGGAAGGCTGTCTCGAAGATCGATCAGAATTTTAAACTGCACCCATGCTTCGTGCGCCTGAATGACTACGTACGTCATGCGTATCGCCTGCAACTTCACAAGTAACGTGAATTTCCAACGCAAGACGGCGATTTTATAGAAAACCATTCAAATTCAATTCTTATCACGTTTATGGATTTTTTTTTCTCTGACGTCTGCGGCGGGCATAACAATCTTTGTACAATGTATATCGCCTCGTTCCTGTTTCTTTACACTTTCGACCATTATCGGATTTTTTTTAATCAGTAACAGTCGTAATTCAAGCGCACTATAAGTCACGTGTATAGTAAAATGAAACGTACTGTAACTTCCTGTCACGCCGTCTTCGCATGAACTTCGATCTCAATTCTATGAACACGTAAAGTAACACTATATCGGGTCTCAAGGTTGCGGTGTATGTAATTTAAGAGAAATCGTTTTTGTGTACGACGGATTAATCTGCATCACTCGCTGTGTTTCTTTCGCTTAATCCGGAGTGACAGGGTTTCAATCTGTTTCCCAAATAACCTTCAAAACATCTGTAAAGACACAAAACAACGTCCACAAGTTTGTTTCCAGAATACTGTTAAATTAGTTTTCCATGCACTCTGTCTCTCAAGCTTTTGTACGTCTCCTTTGTTTATCCAGCGCCTTCGTAAACGAAGTGAAGGGGGCCCCGACGTCTCTGTCCACCTGTAAATGGCGCCCCGCAGCTCCTCCCAAACCGAAAGTTTGCAGCACTTCCTGTTGTGCGTCATAAATCGTGTTACAGAAAACGCATCCATGTTATCAGTACAAGCCTAAACATGTCACTGTCCTTAACGGCACGAATTCACAATCCCCCCCCAGGATACGGTTGTTGGGAGTTACAGAGGAACGGTACCGCATGAGGCTTCAGCCCAGCAGACATAAACGGGAAACACAAACATCACTAGATGGCTAACAAAAATAAATATTTTTTATAAAAAGACAAAAAATACCTTTAATCCAAGTACATGCACCTCAGGCTGCTTCAATGTGACAAAAATCGGTGCAAACACACTGCACACACACTTCCTTAGGTGTGACTGACCTTGACTACATTACCTTGGAAAGGAATTAGACTGTTACACTGTAGGCTATCATAAAACAGAGATCACGAACACAGATTCCAGTACAGTGCAAAACAACAATCTATATGGGGTATTTTCAACCAATTCTAACATGTAATGCTCAAATATGCACACATACAAGCAGAAACATTAGCAAAATCCAAGAAATTGGCATGAATTTTTTCAAAAGCTTTGAGCGAAAAATAAGAAGGGCCAGAATTATAAACTGGATTCTTTATTAAGGAGCTGAAGCTAAAAATGTTTAATATTTCGCTGAATGCACTGCAAAGAAGTTTACTCCGAGTTAAAAGGAAACATTTACAATGGTTTCACCATGTAAGAAGAATGGATAGAAGAACAAGGACACCAAAGGCCATTAGAATTAAAATTTAAACTACAGCTTTCTGTCTGCACATTTCAAAGAGAGAAATTCTGTAATTACATGATGTGTAGTGTATCTCACAACGAACACTCTCTGAAATGTGTTGACGTTGATGAAATTCCTTGTGCTCAGTGACAAGAGATTCTGATTAACATGTGTATGCAACATCTTCCCACTTGAAGTGTTTTAACTAACTTATTGCAAATATCCTTCTGGTACCTTATCTCTAATCAAAATCGCAAGTCTGTTAAAACTATAATTCGCAAGTCAACGTCCCTTCAAAACAGATTAGACATTGCACAAGGAAAATGTAAATGTATGTCTTTGAGGAGATGTGTGTGTGGTGCCCTGAAAAGTTTCTGTAATTGAGATACAATGAAAGCAGCTTAGAATGAATCTCTACAGCTCCACTTCCTACAAATTCCAAAACAGTACGGAAGTAGTGAGGAAGGGACCATACAATTCATGAGACAAGCTAATTCCTCATCCAAAAGTCTTTCTGGAAACAATACATCAAGCTCTACTTCTCATTCTGATCTTATAAGAAATGTTTTTTTTAATGTTCAATTCAGCCTTCCTTAAAGGGTTCAAAATGCTTTCCTTTTTATAACCCAATACAATGGAATACACAACATCATATTTTTAATAACTGTGCATAGGATTAGTTAGGAAACATTATAAACTACAATTACAAACACCTAAAGCAGAATTTGTGATCTGTGATAACATGAATAGTATTGATTATCTTGCTGAAAGTTACCATAAACAATGTCTAAAATCAGTAACCAACATCTTTCAATCTTACATTAACAGTTAAATTCCCCACATGAATTCAAAATTACTCCAGCAGTGCCACTAACAATATTTCTTATAGACGGCTCCATGAAAGATCATACTTCTATCAAACAAATGACAAATGAAGGGCACGGTCTTCTGGGATGTAATGCTGTGTAATCCACTGAAAGTCAACCAACATTTCAGAGGAACATATCGCTTCCATCTTCAGGGTCGAATAAGCCAAGCAAGACACCATTCTGCTTGCCACTTGCTTTCACGCCGATATCTTGCTCAGCTTATTTGACCCTGAAGATAGAAACAATATGTTCTTCCAAAACATCATCTGACTTCCAACAGACTACACAGCATTATATCCCAGAAGACTTCATAACCACCATTATAAGAGCCTCAAATTCTCAAACCTAATAATAAATGGGCTATCTGATCATGATGCTCGACCTCTAGTAAAAAAAAATATAGTAATTTTCAAACTGTGTTAATTACAAGAAACAAGACAGATTAACAAATAGTAATGACATTGTTATAACATCTAAGTAATGAAACCTGGAAGCAGTATTAAGCAGCCATGATGTAAACTAAAAAAATTAACATATTGCTATATAACTCAAAAGTTTTCTAAGCAAGTTTCCTCACCAAAATAAAAAATGGTGTCTGAAAAAAAATGATTGGATAACAAAAGGTATCAAAACATACTGTAAGCACATATGAGATATTCACCTAAATACCTGATCTAGTATCAACCAAATAATGAAAATTCACTACAGGATATTATATTTTTTTTATTGCTAGTGGGGTGGGACTAAGTCCCTTGTACTGCGGCCACTTCTGGTCTTTGTGTGGGATTCGAACTCATGATCCCAGCTTCCGAGCGAGCGAAGACAGTATATGCCTTAGACCGCTCAGCTACCATGACCGACTCAGGAAATACAATGTGGTTCAAATATGACCAGGACTGATTTGTGTGTAAACATGCCACACTGCGCAGCAGCTGTGCAACCTTGAGATAGTGAAGCCACAACCTCTACCCTCCCTCCTATTTGGGTTAGAACCTGTTCAGTCCTGTCTGGGAGTTGCTAGAGTGATGAGCAAACAGAAGGTACCGCGGAGCGTGGAACAAGGAATTGTGATCAAATTCCTCGGAGAAAACGTCCCGTCTGCTGAAATTCACCACAGACTCCAACAACAGTATGGGGAAGAGTGTCTCTCATGGACCCATGTGTTTGAGTGGTGTAAGTGCTTCAGAGAGGGCAGAGAGCACGTGGAGAATGAGCCGCATGAAATGAGCTAGTAGTATTCACAGCCTCTGAGACATCTGGCTGACACAAAAAATAACGCTTTCCAAATCATATGACAGATAAAATTCGTACATCATACATTATAGGGTACACCCCTGGATGCATAAGGGAAAACATGGTGGGCTTACTGAAGGTTGACCAACCTGATGCATTTAGCTGTTCTACCAGAAGAAAAAAAAAACACTGTTCAGTGTAATAATTCTTATTATATGATCTGCTTGTTGTCCATATACATATAAGAGCTCATATGGTTTTGATGATAGTTACAAAAACAGAATTCAGAGAGAGGGTTTTCTGAGTTCATGTGTTTTTATGGTGCTTTGAATCACCACTGAGTCACATAACTCTCTTGCTTATTGGAGCCTGAAATGTTAATTCTTAGAAGAACTTCAGAGTCAACTTTCCATGCATCATGAAATAGTGAAATAAACAAGTGTACTGCAGAATGAAAAAGTATACACGTGTACATGCTAAAAGAGTGAATGACACAATACGGTGGCTGGTTTTAATGTTCTGCATTCAAATGTGCCATATTTAGGTATATTCTATAACGCTGTTAACTTACGAGTACAAACCAATGAAATGTCACAGCCTCTGAGACAGCCGGCTGACACAAAAATAACGCTCGTCAAATCATATGACAGATAAAATTCGTACATCATACATTACAAACCAAAATAGCTCCACGAGCACCCTTTTAATGCCACAAATAATACCAGTAAGATGATTAAGA